GATAATTGCATCTTGCAAAGCACTTCAAGCTTATATACAAAAAGTTCAGGATGATGCAGACAGGGAGTTACAGGCATGGGAAGATGCGATAGCGGCAAGAGAATTGGCAGAGAAGCGTAGAGTAGCTCCCGGATGGTTGGACAGTGATGCTCGAATATTAGAGCCAGAGAAAAAGACAGTTGCAGGAGGTGAAAACCTTATGGATGTTGATGTGTCAACTAATGATGCTTCACGCCTCGCACAAACACCCGTGGCTGTACCAAATCAAGAGGGTGACGAACTCGATAGAGCTTTTGGAGGAATGGGATTAAATAAACCATGATTGTGAGACGACTACGAAAAGACCAAAAGATACTTAACATACTAATAAATGCTGCTTATGCTTTTCTGCTGTTTTGCAATTTGTGATGTAACTGAAGCTTCGAATGTCGCGAAATTAGCCTTGAATCTAAGGCACACATATCAACCTTCATGGTTGAGCTTCCCAAAATCTTCAATCTAGTCTCTCTTGCTTCGACCACAATGCCTCCACGAATACCTAGGGCGAGAACTGGCTGGAAAAAACCGCTTCGAACGCCAAATAACTTCGAGAAATCGCATATATGCCCGATATGCACTCTTTCTCAAACTTCAGAGAGGACTCGAAGTCAACCTCGACATCGCAAACTTTTACCTACCCCTCAATTACCAGTCCGACAATCATCTTCTGCTCCTATAAAAGCTACAAATAACGGAAGGGCTGGCAATATCTCCAAAATAGACCGCAGTTCTCTTCGAGAGGCATTGCTCGAAATACAAAAACACGCCACGAATTATGTGAATATCTCCAGGTTACAACTTGCCTTGAGAGGTTTAGAACAACCGGAGGGTCAAGAGACGATAAGGGTTGCAATATTAGGACTCGCAGATGGCGGGACCTCTCTTCAGAAAGCTAAAGAGCTTCTGAGGCTCATTTTGGCAGACCCATTGAAGGCAGAGGAGGAATGGGAGCGGCGTATAATTCATGGTGATGACATGAACCGGCCATTATTGATAAGGGTAGGACATAATGAGGAAGAAAGCTCGGAGCGGAATGGCAGGCTTGTTTACGAAATGAACATTTCTTCTCCGATGTTCAATGGCCACAAAATGGAGATTTTAGTTTTGGAAATGGAACCTCCAATAATCAACGGAACCGAACTTTTCGAAGAAACGGTCTTAGTACCGACGATGGAGATACCATCGAGTGCAGCTCGTTATACTCCAGTTACAACGCCCGTACATAAATCTTTTCTTCTGGGTCAAGGAATTATGGGCGCAGTCTCTCTTCTTTCATATCCTCGGCATGCAAACCGAGAATCCATCGGAAGTGCTGTCAACGTTGCAAACTTCGAATCAAAATCTCTACCTATACCATCTATCGATATTTCATCTGGCAATGAAGCTTTACAGACATTCCGTAAGAGCATTGAGAATGCAATGGCTTACGAGCGTCAATGGTTGTCAAGCGGTATTCCAGAAGTCATTGACTGGATGAAGTCAGGTGCATCCTCAACTCAAGACACTATCAAAGAACCACTCCTCAGACTGATCTCATCTATCATACAAAATGCGGACAATAACCTGAAAGTGGAACAAGCTAGACAATTGTCCCATCTTTTGTCTACTCGAATACCGTCAGCCCAGATGACATCACTACGTCACGAGCTCTCTACTTGGTCTGAACGTGCTCATACTGAGCTTCGGGATCAATTGGATGTCGCATTTGGTGGTCAGAGATGGCGTAAGTTGGGTTGGTGGAAGTTGTTTTGGCGTGTCGACGATGTTTCTATGATCACGTCTGATATGTTGAGCCGAAGCTTCTTGACCGAGGCCGAAAAGGAGATTATATTTCTAGCCGGACGGACAGAAGAAGCTGGAGTCTATCGCAACATATCTCTTGATTCTGACTCTACACAGAGCTCTGATTGGGCTTATACACCTGTTCACGAGGCTCTTCCAGAAGGATTACCTCCGCCACCAAAACTTCGAGATGTCATCCCAATCAAAGTGGATGAGGATACACCAATGAAGATACAGCCTCAGCCTTGGCCTTTACATATTCCCATTGCTAGGTCAATTTTAACTACAACTACCATTCCTGCTCTGCAAGCTTTGGCCCAAAAGCTTGTCTTACAAACCCTCAGTACTTCATCCTTGACTTCAGCCCTTGCCGGCCTGATGTACGTGAGTAACATGTCAACAACCGTTTACGAAGCAGGAGCAGTCGCCGCCTTTGGCATAGTATGGAGTATGAGGCGAATGCAGAACAAATGGGAGACTGCGCGGGCTTACTGGGAGGGCGAGGTTAGAGAAGAGGGTAGGAAGGCTGTGAGAAATGCGGAAACGATTGTTGGTGAAAACCTGAACAAGGCAGAGGAAGGCAAAGGATTAGATCCAGTTATCGAACGAGATCTGGAGAAAGCACGGGAAGTTATCAGGTCTGCGCAAGATATCATACGTTGAGAACCAACGAATAATTAGCATCGATGTAACATTATTGTATTATGGAATAATACGCAGCTAATTGTAAATCAACAAATAATTACGGAACATCATATGAAGCTTGTGGTAAACGGGACCTTAGAGCAAATGCATGGAACACTCAAGAATTTACTCAACAAATTCTTTCGTTGCACTCTTACCCAAGTGTTTTCCGCGAGATGCAAGAAAGACTGGTGTATGAACACTACATGAACATCTATAATTGTTTTCCCTTTTCCCCCCTCTTCCCCCCCTTCTCCCATTCAATCCACATGTCAACTTCAACTGTTGATTTTCGGAGTCACGTGTTGATGGTAGGATGTTAATCCTCAGGCAGCTATACTTCTCTAGCGCCTGGCTGTTCCAAGGTTCGTAAGCCATTGGCAATAAACTCTTGAATCTTCAACTTTGCGACATCAATTAACTAATTTTACAACATTTTGTAATTACTCTTCCCCGCAAATTATATCTTGTAGCAGGCCACTCCATTTCTTTTGTCAAAAGCTCTTTCTGATGCATAATAGATCTAGTGCAATATGTCTACTCCAGATTCAGGTACCATAGATACTCAAACAGCGAAGTTGACGAAAGCCGATATCGAAAAATCTCCAGGCAACGAGAACTTGTCAATCCACGACAAAACAGAATTAGAGCGTGCAGAAGTCGACGGGGAATCTGCAGAATCTGACAAACTAGAAAATAATGCGACATCCCAAGATTTCTCAACAGGCACAGAAGAACAAGGCGTCACTTCAGATAATGATACGAATTTGAATGAGAATCAAAATGGTCAAGGTGATCCAAGCGAAAAAGATATTGCTACTGAAGGCCCGCCATTACCAGAAGAACCTCTACCGCCCCTTCTAAATGAGCAACCTCCAGTTGTCGCACAAGAAGACGATGGTTGGGCACCAGTCTGGGATGAGACAAATCAAGCTTTTTACTTTTACAATCGCTTTACCAGAGCCACACAATGGGATAATCCTCGCGTTCCAGAGGTCCCGCAGCCAGGTCCACCGGGCGTACCAGCTACAAAGTCTGCTGTTGTACCTACAGAAATCGATCCAACTTCTCGTCCAGCCGGTGGTTATGATCCTGCTATTCACGGAGATTATGATTCGAACGCCTGGTATGCGCAACCATCGGCAGTCGAAGAACCAACAGCTGTTGGGTTAGATCCAGCCGCCGCCTACGCAGCAACTGGCCAATTCAATCGATTTACAGGACGTTGGCAAGCTGCAGAAATTAATCCAGAGAACTTCAATGATGAGAACAAGAGTAAAAGGCAAATGAACGCTTTCTTCGATGTTGACGCTGCGGCAAATAATCATGATGGTAGAAGTTTGAAGGAAGAACGCAGTGGCAAGAAGCTATCCAAAGCAGAACTAAAGCAATTTAAGGAGAAGAGAAAACAGAAAAAGGAAGAGAAACGAAGAGCGTGGTTGAGGGACTGAATATATCACAAATTTTGCATGTATTAGCGTCGCGTTTGGGTTACATAGGGACCAAATCCGGGAGTTCTTGGAAGATTTTGGGCGGAAGGGGTCTCGGAAACAGATTTCAAAGCCAAGGATGATGGCACAAATTAAAAATATATTAATCTTTATGTTCCACATATTTTCTTCTTTCGTTTTACAAGACAACTGGAACGGCTACCGAACTATGGAGACTTACCCCTCGAATACTCCGAGTCCAGCCATCAGATTTTGCGATTGTATATTTCCAGGAGTTGCATGCATAAGGTTCGGAATTTTGCCTTATTCGCAGACATTGCACTTTAACGGTCTCGAATCATCATGCTTTAGATCAAATGCGCCGGTGTAATTAGAACAGTCAACAACACCAACCTTTCATTTGGGCAACAGACTACCATTATATATCTCCTTCTGCCACACAACATCTGTTTGATTTATAATTGTTCTTGAATCTTCAAAACTCTACTGCCGATTTCAGGCTTCACGAGATGAAAATCTCCATCATGCGGATGACTTCATTATCAAACCCATTAGCCTGTAATTACTCGGTTTTATGTTGATTCGTCGAATGCTGCCCTGGAACAACATAATCATCGTACCACTCATGAGCTACCCCACCCCCCACGAAGAAACGTCTCAAGTCTGGAATCAGACGCCACGGCCTCACCCAGGCAGTTTTCTGATAGCCCTTGATCGATATTTGATGGCGACTTTTATGCTAGTGATGAAAGCCGCCTTTAGGATAAGTATTCAAACTTTGCGGATCTAACAACAATGCTAGGGATGATCTTTCGGCAAGTTTTCCGTACGAAATTTTCTCAATTAGAGGAGTCGCTAAATGGAGAAGCTATGTCAATATTGCAGCTACAACTGGAAGATCATTGGGAGGTCCAATTGGAGGGTTTCTAACTGATACGATTGGGTAGCGATGGTGAGTATCTGATGCATATGTAGTATTCTACTTTCTGATTTGTTTGTGTCAGGTCCTTCTTAGCACAATGCCCACCTACTATCTTAGCCTTGATGCTAGTAATCTGGAAGCTGGATATTACACCGCAACAAATTTGCGGCAAACAATCGCATTTCTCAAAATTACGTCGTATCGATTTTCTAGGCTCAATCTTCCTTTCTGTCTCGATTGTTTGCGGACTTATGGTCCTGGATTTAGGTGGTCATCGAATGCCTTGGACTGATCATAAATTGCTATCCCTATTAGGCATCTCAGTTGCAGCTGGACTTTTATTCCTTCTCGTAGAAGGGTTTTGGGCTAAAGAGCCTATTTTCCCTTTAAGATTGTTGCGCAATAGAGATGTGCTTACGAGTTATATAAATTTGGGCTTTCAATCGGGTGCTCAGATGGCGGTATGCAGTTTCTTGACTAAGTATTCGTTTAATTAAGCGACTAATGAGTGGTTAGATGATGATGCTCGTTCCAATTTATTTCCAAATAACCGATCATGCGACTTTCACAACGGAGGGTGCACATCTCATGCCTTCTGTAATGGAAAATGCAGTAGGAGGTCTTCTGACTGGATATATTATCCACAGGTATTCCTCCCATCTTCCCCCCCCCCTTTTTTTTTCTAAAAAAAAGAACTGCTCCGCTGATACCCCCTAGAACCGGACACTACAAACCCATCCTCCTCCTCGGTGCCCTCTCCTCCCTAACATCCTACGCCCTCCTCCTCCGCTGGCACGGCCACACCTCCTTCCTCGAATCCCTCTACATCATCCCCGGCGGTTTCGGCAACGGAATCGCACTCTCAGCATCATTTATAGGACTCACAGCAGGCGTAGAATAAGAAGAGTTGGCGATAGCCACCAGTGGACTTTTTCTAAGCGCAAATGTAGGGTGTGTGGTGGGGGTTAGTGCGGCGGGGAGTATCATGCAAGCGGGGCTGGAAAAGGGTCTGAGGGTGGCGCTTGAGGGGTGGGAGGGGAGCCAGAAGGTTTGTGGAGGTTTTGATTCTCTAATTATCTTTTTGGGGGGTGGGGGGAATTTTTTTTTGGATAGGTTACTAATTCATTTCTTCTCTTTGCTTCAGATCATCGAACAAGCACTCTCGGATATCGAATACGTACGGAATCTCGATGGAAAACTGGGGGAATTGGTAAAGATTGTTTATGTGAATTGTTTGTCTTTTACTCATGGTATGTAGTTTGGCTTTTCCCCTGTGGTGTGTGGTGGTGTGAAGTTTGATTTTGGTGAATTCTGAGTTGTGACTAATGAGGGTGATTGGATGGATAGCTGTTTCTGTTTGCGCGGCGGTTGTGGCGCTGATTGCCGCGTGTTGTGTGAGGCAGCATCGTGTTTGAGGATTGTGAGGGAGGGGGGTAGGATGGTATGAGAGTAGGAGAATAGCGAGGCTAGAGGTAATCAAAGTGCGAAGACCATCTCATGAAGAATAAGAATTATGGGATCTACACAGGATAATTCGAAATTACAAACTACATCATTTAACCGTATTTCAGTTTCAAGATTTCATGATGTATAGTCAGTCGTATGACGGAATTTCGAAAGTCGCGTTTTCAAGGCAGAGCCAAAACACAATCGTCTCCAGGACTTCTTTCATTCAGAACATTAAGATTGAAATATTTTAATTTCTACAACATTTGCCTAGTTAGGATAGGAGCATTGCGTTCTAATGTCCCAATCCGTCGCGTGTTGAAATTTGGAGCTATTGGTAGCGAACCCGTATCATCCCATCCCATCGGATGCTGTTATCTGGCTGACTTGATTTGACTAGAGAGAGGGTTGATGAATTTTTGTAGAAAAAAAAGAAAGAATTAAATTAAATTACATTTTTGAAGAGTTATCTGGACTATCTGAGTGTGGGAATCGGATGGAGGAAGAGCAATTTGTTAGTGCGCTGAAGTTGGTGGGTAATGAGGAGTTGGGGGGGGTGGGAATGAGACCTCCCTTGTATGGATAATTTGAGTGGGGATTTTGGAGCAGCGGAGAGGTTGTATATCCTCTTGATATTTTTCTAAAAAATCAATGTGGAGTTCTACAAAGGATCTCAATTGCTCTAGTGATCACATCACATCACATCGTCAAACACGAAGAATCCTAATCGCACAGCTAAGAATACAAAGTGCTTCCTCATTCTCCCGCAACAGTCCCATCCTAGACGATAGTATAATCGCGCATTTCTTGCAAACGTCATCCTCAAGGATATGTTTCTCACTTCCCTCATCACGTCTACCTATCTATACCACATTACTGCATCTCTCATATCTAACTTATGAGATAATTACACTCTTGTTGTAGAAGCGTTACAGAGTTGGAAAATCGAGTATCTACCGACCACAGCTGATTTTCACGTTTTCGCAAATTTGGGTGAGTATTAAAGAAGTTAGGGGTGGAAGAGATGGCGAAGAGGTTGTTGGGTGTGGGGGTCATGGCGAGGCCGAGGAAAAGGGGTAGGAATTGATGGGAAGATGGGGAGATGGGAGACTTTCTTTGGGTTTGGCGAAGGAGGGGAATAAGTACATGATTGAAATACACTAAGTACCATAGGTGCTTACTTTTAGTTGTACATCAGGTATCAGTAGGAGTTTTATTTGAGACAATTATAATTACACGCTTGATATATCAATTTAGTTGAGCTAAGTAGTATGCTGCCTGAAATACGAGTAAATTATAACAGAAGAATATCAAGCCAGCACAGGTTCTGGTGACTCAAGAGTGTTAAATGGGTATATAAACTAGGTAACAACACGACAAAGGGTATGAGGAATGAAGTCTAATCGACATAACTTCAAAGTCTAACATCGCTAAATGCTCCAAACCAAAGCAAATGCAGTAAGTATAAATGAGGAAAAAGAGAGACTCATAACAATCTACCACCGCCTATATTCATAAACAAACTCGGAACGCGAACGAACTTGAGGAAAGCGGACTTCTCTAGAGCCTGGCTGTTCCACTCGAATCCTTGGTTGTCTAATCTCCCACACATCTGGACATGGTATTTCGGGAGCCAAAGGGGGTAACAAGTATGGCTCCCTCTCTTCCAACTCTCGCCGTGAAGGATATCGCGTGGGATATTCGTCCCGACGGTCGACTTGTACAGGAAAAGGCAGGATGTGTACTTCTTCAGAAGTTGGTGCAGGTGCCTTTTCTTTTTCTTGTGTCGGCTCATGACTCTTTGTTCCCCCCACCGTAATACCCTCTTTCTTTCCATCCTTCTCCATTTGTAACTGTATTTCTAAATGTGCCTTCTCGTACTCCTTCTCCATCATCCTTCTCTTATGTATATGATGATGCCATTCATGTCGTACCTCTAACCCCGCAAGAATTAACGGGGCACTCCAGAGAACAAGCTTGCCAAGCTTCTTCACTGGATTCTCGAGTTTCTCAACGGTTTTGTAGACGCGCTTCCCTACGCCGGCTACCTCCTCTTCAATATCTTTCTTGAACCTATCTTCTCTATCTCGTGTATGGTGTCGATGTGATCGAGAGTTCCCTGACATTTTGTGCGAACGTTTTCGACGGCCTGATGAGCGCGAAGATCGGGAAGAGCTAGTGGAGGACTCTCGAGACAAGGTTGAATTGCTGCGATTCTGAGGCATTCGCAGATCTTTGGGCTCCACGGCGCACACTGCTGCTTCGCTCTCCAAGTATATAACGATAAGCACAACGGTATCAGAGAATAATGAGTCAAATCTGTATAGTTAATCTCGAGTGATGATCTAGTAGCAATAAAACAATTCGAAAAGCAAGCGCTGCCACTTATAGAAAGGATCAGGTTGCTATATATTACCATTTCAAAATCTGCGACAACTTGAGGCAGTGATGTTCAGCAGTTAGAGTCATGTGAAATCCATGACCAGCTGACCTACCGTATGAGTCTTTTATCTCGATACAGATACGTTGCAAGACTATGTTTCGAGAAAAGATGACTCTTATTCATCATGGTCATAATGCGCAATCAAATGATTTGAGGGAGAGGAAGTTGTTCACAATTTCATGAGATGCGGAAAGTTCACAGACGATAAGGACCATAGGCGCAAACGCGTTACTAGCTCACATTTGCACGTGCTCTTATATAAGCGACATAAGTCCCTTACAGCAGTCGCCAGTCACAAAACAAGCAATGCTGCTCATCATAAGCAAGTTCTGTGATTTGTCTAACAGTGTCGTATTATAAATGCAAATATTTCTAGTGGAATCTACTTGTACATGCTATTCGATCTCGAGCAATTGTATCTTCAGAGAAGCACCCTTCACGTGGTTATTCTCATGATATTAGTCAGTTGATCGTCTTGTCATCTGATTTAACCCATGTTTCGAAGCTCTACGGAGTATTATCTGTGTTCTGAGTTTGAACCAGGCTAAAATAGCACATATTATCCACTCACAACGGTATTTGTATATCTCATCTGTTTTTTTCTGGCGTTCGTTTACTGTTTTCTGGCCTATCAACAGGCCCTGGCACTCCGTCGCTCTTTTGAGCTCTCGTGACTACCACCTTGTTACTTATTGTCAATACAAGATGGAGACTTGCTAAAGCTATGCGTCTTAGTCGTCCAATATAGTCTTCTGCTTGCTTGTACGAGACACTTCCTTCAGTGATGTGATGCATATTGAGCACCTACCCCCCATAAAACAATATTCGACTCTTAGATGTAGATAGACTCTCCAAAATTATCCTTGTAGAGAACAGCTACAACTTCTATATTGATCCGCCTGAATAAAAGAAAAGGCTTTTCTCGTACCCATTTGAAGTCCAATGATTAACTGTTATCTAAATCCAGGGTAGGATTGGGACACCTGCAAGTGACGTCTACTTATCCCGCCCTCAGCATATGTGGATACTTGGTTTTCATTGCCTTTGCCGCAATAGTGGCGCCTAACAGTCAATAAGACACAACGCTCTACAAATTTCCCCGCATCATCGATACATGGTCAACAGCGAGCAGATACCAACAGCACTGAGTGGTTACGGGAGCTGCCTCTAGGGTCACGTGGAAGTGTCTAGAGATCTCTCGAGGTGGTTTAGACTAGACTTCAAGTAGGAATTCAATAAGGTTGTAACTGGTTGCAATTCTCGTAACTATAGTAATGAAACTAATGATTGTTCTTGAGCACGAAGCTCTACATGTAAAGAAACCCTTTCCCTTATATAGACCTTTGCACTCTGCGATCCCATCGATCCCACTCACTGAGAGTAGTGGGCGTAGTGGGATCCCACTGATCCCATTGATAATAATCGGTGGGACTGATGGGATGGTCCATCACGTGATACTAGTCCCGTGAGTCTTGTCGTCCTGTCTTATTTCCTGTCCTAGGGCTAATCCCTTGGGAGCTTACTAATCCTAGCAAGACCTCTCTTGCTTACTGTGTCCTGTATTGCTTATTCTTCTTAGGACCCTACTGTCCTAGGAACCATGTCCTATGATTCAGTGTATTCTATAACTAATACTATATACATGCCTGAGGCTTTCCTTGGGTGCCTAGTGTCCCCCGGTATACTGCAGCTGAATCACTGAGGCCTATAATACCATTATAGCCTATAAGTCAGTGATTCTACAGCCTGTTACTAATCCGTTGTAACACTGAGCTCAACCATCCGAAATACTCTTAGCTCTTGTAAGAGTTGAGGCCCCGGCTTATCGCACACCACCCTTTTTTGTAACAAAATCCCTGCAAAAATACTGTTTTTATATATAAATTAATTATTATTATAATTCTTTAATTATTCGAAGAATTGATTTGAAAATTATATATATAAGAAATAACTATATAAAGAATATTCAATTTAAATAATTCTTTGAAATTTTGAAAATTAATAAAGTTATAGGTTTTCAAAATTGAAATTTTTCAAAATTTATAATATGTAATACTTTTCTTATATAAATAAATCACTTTTTTAAGTTTTTTTTAATAATTTCAACTTTAAAAATCTACAACCTTTTCTAAAAAAAAATACTAAAAATATTTCATTTATTTTTTAAAATCATTTCAATGATTTTCAATATTGGTTATTATTTTTATAATTTTTTTTTTGAAAAATTGATTGAATTAATATATAGTTTAAAAGTTGAAGAAATAAGGGTTTTTAATGTGTTTTCGCTTAATGTGCGATAAGCCAGGGCCTAAACTCTTACATTGAAACTCACATCATGCCTCAATACAGTTATTCTAAAAGTCCACTAGACTCTAAAAGTATTCGTTTGCTCGGTTCAATGCCAGACGAAGATCTGACCGCTCAAATACATTTCCGACTTCATAATTATTCTCTTCGAAAATCGGACAGGGGGATCCATCTATATGAAGCTTTATCCTATGTATGGGTTAGCCCGGAGAGCCCTAAAGTTGTCTATATAAACAATCATTCTCTATCTATCACAGCAAACCTTTACACTGCACTGCTGCATCTTCGATATCGCAGTTTTGAAAGGATTATATGGGTGGATTCTATTTGTATCAATCAAGAAGATAATACAGAGAAAAGTCATCAGATTCAATTAATTGCGAAGATCATTGGTCAAGCGAATCGTGTAATTGTTTACCTTGATGATGCAGCAGACGGTAGCAATCAAGCGCTCGAAAGTATACGTGTTGCTGCGGAAGGTGAATCCCCAGAATTTGAAACCCCAGAAGGTGGATATCTAAAACAGGAAATCAGTGAAATGAACCAGAGGGGAGTTTTTGAACTGCTCAAACGACCATGGTTTGAACCGATCTGTGTAAGTCACTCAATTCACCGTCAATGATATTTCAGAAGATTACTAACAAAAACCGATGCAGGTTTTTCAAGAGGTTGGCTTCGCTCAACAAATCCTGATAATGTGTGGCTCTGCAACAATAGACGGGTAAGACTTATACACCGGCTTCAGCAAGCTTTTCTACAATGGTCACTCAGACTTGGTAAATCTGATCCGTCCGGTGATGTACCTAATGAGAGGAGTAATCTTCCAACCAAAACATGTAACTCGGTTATCTGGTGCACTTTCTCTAGGCGTATTGGTAGATATGTACCATACCCGTAAGGCCACTAAACGTCACGACAAGATATATGCCTTGCTCGGCAAGAGTTCCAACAGTCCTAATCTAGCTGGATTATTGCCTGACTACAAGGTCACATGGACAACGCTGTTGGAGCGACTTGTTAAATTTATACTCCCCCAAAATATATCTGTAAAGACTTGGGAGAGCAAGGAGGTAGCACTTATTGAGAGTAAGGGCGATGTCCTTGGCTATGCCTTCTCGATAGATGATGATAGTACCAGGTTTGACAGACAGTATGTAACTATCCCTTCCAACAATCGGCTAGAATCTGTGTATTACAACAAAGAGTACAGCACTCGTTGGTGTTTCCAGGATTCAGCGAAACCTATTCGACAAGGCGATCTCGTTTGTCTTTTGCAAGGGGCTTCAAAGCCAGCTATCATTAGAGCAACCAAGGATCATTTTGCTATCATTTTGATTGCAGCCACTTTACAAAAACACACACAAGTAAATAGCGGAGTTTTTGAGTCTCCACTTACCTTGCCTTCGAAACAGAAATTCTCGCGTGATTTTTTACTTATCTGGAACTAGGAGCAAATTCGAAACAACTTGCAAGGCCAAGCAGAATATGAGGGGATTATTGAGAATCATACCTCGGTACCAGATTATCTGAATACGGATTCAGGTAGAGTGATCGATTCAATAAATGTAGCACTTGTTTTGGGAGGTATAATAGACTACGAAAATGCAAAAAAATATACTTCAAATACAGATAAATATTTACGAGGGAAAGTTTGGAAGAGGAACTCTACATATATTAGCATTAAAAGAAAGCCTTGCATGGATAGAGCATAGGAGTTCTGAATGGATGAAAGCAGAAGCTCTCTTCTTGCAAGTAATACAGGCAAGAAAAAGGTTGCAGGGGATATATCATCAGGATACATTGAGCGATACGGCAAGACTAGATTTGGTCTATATGTATGCATATTCCGCCCTCAGACTATGGATTGGAGATGTCAAAAGAATATCAAATCAGATGGAAACCAATGAACAGATGAGTGAAGAAGATACGATACAGGTTGGAGGTTTATGTGATCAGAAAATGATGAAACTTTTATTAGGACAGAAAAGGGACAATTTCCAACTTACAGAAGAGGTGTTAAAAGCTGTAGCGGGGAATTCAAATGATGGGTAAAAAGTTATGAAGCTTCTATTTGAGAAACGAAATGAAGAAATAACGATCACTGAAGAGGTAGTGGAGATTGCAGCGAGCAATTACCAGAATGGACAAAGGATTTAAATACTTTTGCTTGAAAAAGAAAGAGAAAAAGTAGTCATTACCAAGAAAATAGCAGAGGCTGTAGTAGAAAGTGGTTCTAGCGGGCAGTAGATTACGATAATTTCACTTGAGGAACGAGGAGGAGAAGTAATAACTTCTGAAGAAGTAGTGGCAATAATTGCTGGCAAATTCGGAAAGGAAGCTATGACGCTTTTGCTCGAGAAACAAAGAGAAGAAGTAGTTATTACTGGAGAGGTGATTAAAACTGCAGTAGGGAATTCTTATTCCGGAGAGGAGGTAATAAAGCTCTTACTGGAGAAAATGGGGGAAGAAGTAATAATTCCTGAAGAGGTATTAGAAGTTGCAGAAAGGCGTTCTCATTTGAAAGAGAAAGTGATGGAGTTATTATTGAAGCATCGGGCAACTAATGTCATGATTCTAGAGGAGAGTAGTTGTCTGTATATAGTAGTGGTATTGAGTCATTGAGCCTACTTTAGCAGATTGAGCGAGAGCGCTACGCTCTTCATAACGCTTGAAAAGAATTCCATCTTTTCATGTATAGTTTAGCTCTTTAAACAGAGTGTAATGTTAGAAAATGACAAACTTTTAACTAACGCTATCTACAGCGCCTACCCAGACTTTAACTTTGACAATATTCTCTGCAATGTCTCTTGGTAACAATGTACCCGTCAAACTTTCTCTCCACAGTAGCAAGACGAGAATCTCAGTAGGCGTCGCTCTGGTCACATTAATCACCGTCTTAGCATTTGGATTCTTTGCTCCGAAGCGATGACGAGCGGAAGAAAAGACAGCAGATCACATTACAGAATTATTCAGAGTTCACTTGATTCTCAAACTAGAATATCAGTAAGATCAACATTGAATTTCCAATCATGTCGGCTTGTTAGCCATTATACTGATAGCGACGGAGAAGAGCTGTAAGTGCTCTCGTTTTTCAAGCGATGCCATGAATCATATAGCCATCTCCAGCTTTTGCAGTTTCATTCGAATTACCGAGAAGACTGGGTAATCCGAACGAAGTCGTTTGCTATATACATACCTACCATATTCTTTGTCTTCTAGCTGAATAATTCGATTTATTGTTCGAAGTCCTATCAGCTGTATCAGACGTTTGATTAGATCAAAACAAAAATTGATACCTATTCCTTGATGAAGTCGTGTAATTTATTGGAGATTTCTCCTGATGTCTGTTTCTTTTGCTTTTTGGAGCTATGAATAGACTTTAACGATGTTCTTCCTGCACTACGGTCCGAATCCAGATGTGATTCTCTATAGCCGGGTTTATTTCTACTCATATATATACTTAGTTACCTTTGCAACTACCTTTCCAAATTCTGTGCACTAATTTTACCCTGCTATAGTTGTATCGCTGTCGTATTCTTCGAACTAGCATTGGAGAATTCCGAGGGTATCGAGAGGCCCAAGGATTCGGACCGGTTATGTCGACGCTCATAAGTCTAGTGGCGATTGATATACTTAAACTCCTTTATAAGCCCTTCCTATCTGCAACGATGAAATGTAAAATATGAAAGTAGAGGGATGTACCTATTATGTAGAGATCAGCCCATTAGTCTACGTGGCAGGATTTAGTTGTATGATGATGTTTAAGCGTGATTGTAGATTGTAATCAGTGTGTAATATCAACGAAGAAGTAAATTCGTTCAAACTAGAAAACTAAACAGATAAAATACCCATTGCAGGCGCGTATACGTATCGCGATGCTCATGAAATTCTGCCTTGCGAAATTTGTCTTCGTATATAGTATATGCAATTTGTCTTCTGCCTCGCTCATATTGATAGGGGCTACCACGTTTTCCTTCAAGTACTCTTCAAGACTATTTTACAGGAGCAGACTTGGTCGTATCGGATTGTTCAGACACCGCTGCCGTCGCATGTCTTGAAATCTCATTTTCCAAGCTACCGGAAGAATTATTGCCTTGAAATGTCGGCTCTTTGCTTTTCATCCTTTTTCGCCAGCCCAAGTGAAGCTATATGCGTAATTTCTATGACACTAAAATTCAAGATTGTTAGGATTATTAACAAAGATATTCATCAAGATTTTCATTAATAGATAAAGATAGTTAAATCTAAGTTAGTCTAATATGGATCTCAACTAGTTTGATTAGAGGGTGGGAAGATGAGAAAGAAAGACAGAAGGATAGGAGAATAAGTGAGAAGGAAAATAGAAAAGTATAAGAGAGTCAGGAGAGAGAGAGAGTAGGAATTTGAAGGGGGAAAAGTAGAGAGGGATAAAAGATGGAATGGGAGAGTAGTAGGGTAGAAAATTGATACAGATAGATTTAGGAAAGCTGATCAAGAATCGGAATGTGAAATTCGCATTGAAAAGTGGATATAGAATTGTTAGATATCAGTAATAATTATATATCTCACTGGTAGGTGTACCTTCAGAGTGGTTTTAATGTCTCGATCAGGTTATATAAATTCTATCTATCCACCTATTTTTATATCGACACAAAATCACATTAAATCATATTTCAAGCGGTCTAGACCTTCATATAATCCTCCACCCACATCTCAAACCCCAAACAATCTACCACTCCAACTGACCCCCCTCATAACTCCAAAGTTTTCCCCCGTGACTCTCCTTCGTACTCTTCGTAATAAGCGGCGCCATCAGGGCACATGAATCTTCAACTGAAACAGCAGCTTGATCCATTCCAAAATAGACGGCACCCGCGTTACCGAGCTCGGTTTGGCACCAGCCGGGATCGAGAACGAACGCGTTCAAGGGGGGGTTCTCGACGTTCATGCGTTTGGTGAACCAGTGGATGGCGGCTTTGGAGGGGCCGTAGGCGCCGTTCGGGATGGGGAGTTGGTTCTGGATGGGGAGTTGGTTCTGGATGGGAGTTTAGTGGGTGTTTCAGGGGGATTTCAGTGGGAAGATGAGATGGGAAGAAAGTTGGAAGGGAGTGGAACGTAGAAAATGGAGAGATGGGACAAAGAAGGGAAATGAGTGAGGAATGGGATGCGAAAAGAGAAATCTCATCAAATATTAGAATCAAAATTCAAGAAATGCTCACGGTAATCATCCCCGCCGTACTTCCAATAGTAACCCATTTTGGATCCTTACTCTTCAATAATAATGGCAAAGTTGCCTGATATAATCTCACAGCTCCAAAAACATTTGGTATGAAGTGGCCTTCTAGATCTTCGATCTTTAGATCGGCAACGGTGGGCCAGGCGTAAGATACACCTGCATTGGCGATGACGAGGTCTAAATGGTCTATTCCGAGGGAGGGGAGCGTGTCGATGGCGGTTTGCGCGGAGGTGGGGGAGGATCCGTCGACTTTGATAACGACTAGGGGTGGAGAAGGGGATTAGCGGATGTGGGGAAGGAAAAGTGGAGAGGGATTCAGGGGAGAGTGGAAGGGAATCATGAGATATTAATGTGTTATGGAGTGAAAAAGAATCTATGATTGAATCTGTAGAATACCAAAGTACAATTTTGCCGTCGCGGAAAAGGGTAATCACATTCGCGAACCACGAAATAAGAGAAAAAAAGAAAAGAAGAAAAGAGAGTTATGCTCACAGAGCTTGGTGTTAGCACCAGTAGGCAGTTCTGAGAGGGCTTTCGATGTTGGATGCGAAGGGTCCCGATTGGCGGCAATGACGATGTGATCGGGTTTGCTGATGTATTGGGCTAGGAGACCTTTTCCTGTTGGGTAAGAGTGTTGTCAGAATTCTGTCTTTTTTGTTATATTGAGTTGGAGTTGGGCAATGAATGAAAGGAGGGTATCGAATAATCGGAGAATGAAGACAGTACTGTACCTAAACCTCTGTTTGCACCACTAATAAGAACGATTGTTGGCGCCATGATGAATGTGTTAAAGATCAATCAATAAAATCAATTAATCCAGAATTTAAGTGTATGAATGTATGAGTATAGACTGTTGAATACAGGTTATAGAAGTAGACAAGAGTTTAAAAACTATGGATCAGTAATCCTTAAGTGAAAAAATACCTACACAGATATGTTCCTCCTGAAAGATCTGTTAGACCAACAACGACCAACAACTACGTTTTCCAAGGTTACTTGCATTACAATCTGTATTTCCAATCATGGATATTACAAACTTACAAATCAACATCAATATTGTGCTTGATAATCAGAAACAAACGACAAGGAGATTAACAGGGGCTGGACTATTATGAGGAAATGAAGTGGTTCAATAGTAAGATGTTTGCAGGAATAATAAGCGACGTACAGATAAATTTGCCTCTTCATTTTATACCATTGGATGAAATATTGTTGGCTTGATATGTGGATTTCAATTGGTCTCTGAGGGTTGAAGGAAGGAGAGCTGAAGAGTATATACATATACCCGGCTATAAGCCCCACTATCTAACTAGAGGGCTGAGCAACGAGCTCGGTCGTTTAGGGTTGAGAGAGTGCTTACTTTGAACGGGATGCGGGTTGCTTATCTGTTCCCCCGCGCCGCCCACTGTGACTGTGTAGTGGGGTTGGGGCTTACTGGGTACGATTACTTATTATTTGTTGCATGACTTAAGGAGTTTAGGAAATGTACAAGATATACCTATTGAGAGGTACTTCCTCTAGAAGAAGCCGCTGTGGAATAAGACTCTGAGATTTTGTTGGTAAAATATTATGGAATTTTCAAGTGATTGAAGTCATTTGTAGATGACTATCTAGGTGTTAGACATTAGACTCAGGTGAGGGAACATATGGCGTGATTCTTGAGCTTCCAATATGGGGACTCATCGATCAGATGATTTCACGGATAGTTAGCGAAAAGTTGCAGGCAGACTTTGCAAACTTAAACTTAAACATACTGCAGTATTGTGTCTAAATATACATTATCGCTTGAACGAGGCTCAAATCAAATCTCTATTCCTCCATTTCATTTTCATTTCAATCAATAAATATTAGGAATCAAAACATATCTATGAATCATAAAATCAACTTTCCAATTCTGTAACCACAATAATTCTATAGAATGGCCTCGACAAACTAAAGAACCCCAAAACTCAACCACTCTTCGTAAGCGGAGGCATCTTCGCCACAATCTTCTCACACAAAGAAGTGAGAGAACTAGCATTAGTAATATCAAGCGTCGTCAATTCAGCCCCCAATTCCATCCTCACCCAATTCCGGAACTCGACTGCCGACAATGAATCAAGTCCATACACTGACAAAGGCTTCCCTACTTCCATCGGCTCATCCAATCTCAACATCTTCGTGAATTGCATGTTGACAACTTCAACTGCCGCTGCGACCATAGGAACAGCCTCAGCACCAGAACGATAGAGAAGCAGGAAAACTTGAAGTTCCTTTGAACTATCATCCGCGCTTCCTTTTCCGGAACCACTAGAATCCGTATTTGCGAAGAGATGGCCAAATCGAGCATCTCGGATAAGAGGCGAGTCGTCTGGAAGAGGTACCGCAATACCAGTGATGAGCTGGGCGGAACTCGCTTTGTTGATTGGGCAAACTTGTTGGAAGATGGAGTAGCTGAGAATTTTTCGAAGAATTTGTTCGTTAATGCCTGTCCATTGTCTGTCATCGAAATGACTTGTCATTCCGCCTTGCTCGGCTACATATCCGACATCCTGTATTACACCGAGATCTACAGCATTGGCTGGGAGATTAAGAGATTGTCTGTAACTAGCAAAGGCATCCATGAAGACGTTTCCGGCTGAATAATTGGCTTGCCCTTTCTGTCCGATGACACCAGAAATACTCGAGAGCATGGTGAAAAAATCGAGGGGGGTTTCTTGCTCTAAAGCTACATTGTGTAGATTCCAGGTTCCTTGCACTTTACTCGATACTGTGGTGTGGTAATCTTCAATTGTCATGATCTCGAAAGGTTTATCCTATTCAAATTAGTACATTCCAAAGCAATCCCAAGACGGATTTTACTAACCCTCAAAACCATAGCTCCTTGAATTACACCTCCGATCGGCTTGTTCGCAGCTTTGAAGGCATTTTTCACATCGTCAATACTCGACACATCACCTTTGGCCTCTTGGATCTCACACCCGAGAGCCTTGCAATTCAAGACTGTACCTTGAGATTTCTGATCCGAGCACCCACTCCGTAACATGGAGATAATGTGTTTAGCTCCATTGCGTGCCATATGGACTGCAAGACTTCCGCAGAGACCCTTGAGACCGCCAACAATAAGATAAGAGACGTCGTGTCGAAGACGAAGTTTCTTGGTTGGTGGGCGTACTGGAAGTTCGATAGAGGCGTTCTCTTCTCTCGTAATCACAATCTTTCCGATATGACGTCCGCTACGCATAAATGCAAAGGAAGCTGCGATATCGTCGAATGGAAAGGTTGTGATTGGATGAACGGGACCGATGTGGCCAGCTTCCAAAAGATCGAATATCCGTGTCAAAAGTCTAGGTGAATTGTGAGTAATCATCTACCATAGAAAGAGATGGAATATGATAAAGAATCAGAGAACACTCACTTGGCAATAAGTTTATCAGTGATGTGCTTCGTGTACGAGAAATCCACAGCTTTAAACGAACAATTACGATCGAATGGCTCCATGGAAAGGTAACTGCGGGCAACCATATCCTTTTTACCAATCTCGATCATGCTTCCGCCATCAGCACAGATTCTCCACGATGCGTCCAATAGTTCGCCTGTGAGTGAATTGATGATGACGTCGATTCCTTTGCCATCAGTGACCTCCATGATCTCAGATGCGAATTTTGTATTTCGAGATGAAAACATGTGGTCGTGAGGGATTCCATATTTTTCAGATAAGAGCTGTCGCTTCTCTTCGGTCCCGACAGTTACAAAGATCTGTTTTTTTAAATGTTAATATGACACTTAAGGTTTGATGTTTGGTGATAAATGGAATTAATTACCTCTGCACCGATGTATTGACAAAGTTGGATGCAAGAGAGACCGACACCTCCAGTGGCGGAATGGATCAATACAGACTAAATTATCAGGTTAACTATGAAGATATGAGATCAGCAGAAATGGATTGACAAACCTGGCCCTTTTGTAGATTTCCAATATTGAAAAGAGAGTAAATTGAAGTCAAATAAACAAGCGGGATTGTAGCAGCGTCCTATATGACACTGCTGTACTAGCATACCCTTTTAGACGGGAATCAGTCCGGTCGTACGACGTGGCTTGGGAGGGGTGATGATATCACGCACATATACTGCAACCCAACCTTTTCCCTGATAAATTTATTAACAGATTACTTAATTTAGCCTAATCTTGAACTAAGATAAACATAAGAAGTAATCACATAGATATATAAGATCCATCACATAATCTATAATTTACTTTCCCTCCCCCTTTCACCTTCCCCATCCCCCTCCAACTCACAAACCAGAATCCCTACACCCACATTCTCTCCTTCCTCCTTCTCTTCCCATCGATCCTCTTCTCCATCCCCAAAAACCCACTTCACAACCCCATCTTTCTGACTCCTAACTTCAACTTCCATTTTCATCTGTCTAATCACACAGATTGTGTGACCAGCTACTATCTGATCTCCTTTCTCTACGCAGATTTCGATGAGTTTTCCCGGGAAGGGTGTTGTTATATGGTTTGAATTTTGGGGGTTACCTAGACGGTGGGAAGATTGTTGGGAGCTGGGAGTAGAGGAGGATGAGGTGAGGGAGAGTGTGTAGGGAGTTGGTTTTGTGGTGGTGGAGGGAGAAGCGAATATGATGTTGGCTTTGAGCGAAGAAGGAAAGTTATTGGTGAGGATGCGGGTTATTTGCATATGATATGGTATCGGCGTTGAATCTCCGGGTTTTGCATTCGAATTGAACGATTCATCAGGAGTAAGTTCAATATTCCAGGCATCTCTCGGACGGAACACCACACTCGATGAAGATGGTAAAGGTGGTATTGAGCTCGTCAAGACCGGTACTGCAGAATTCTTCAAGCCCTCGCTTATCTTCTTGGCGGGTCTGAGCAACACCGGTAAATTTTTCTCCAACCATCTCGTATCACACTCTTGCTTCTCAAACGCATCATTATCAATGATGGCTCTTAATAAGTCCAGATTACTTTCAATTCCGATGATAACTGTATCTTCTAACGCTCGTTTAGCTCTCGCGACGACATCTTGCCAGGTAGGTGCAGTAATGATCAGCTTTGCCAGTAGACTATCGAAATCTGTGCCGATGATTGCGGGGATTGAAGGGTGCAAATGTGTGTCTACTCGAATACCGTTTCCTGAGGGAAAGTAAAAAGATGAGACTTTTCCCGGACTGAGTGAGAAGTTTTGAGAGGGGGATTCGGCTGTAATGCGGAGTTGCAGGGAGTGGATATGAGGCGGGGCTAATGGGGATGAAGGGAGAGATTGCGGGAGAAGTGATAAGAGGGAACATCCTTGGGCGAGAAGAAGTTGAACTTTAACTAGGTCGATCCCAGAGGCTAGACATTCGGTAATACTGTGTTCGACTTGTAAACGCGGATTGATTTCCAGAAAATAGAATTCTGGTGGTGATTGCCGGACCAGAAATTCGAAAGTTCCAAGCGAGTAATAATTCACTTTTCTAGCCATCCTCAATGCGCTTTCGATGACCTTCTCCACAGCCAGCCTGTCGGTAATTGAACAAGGAGCAAACTCCACCACTTTTTGAAACCGCCTCTGGATACTACACTCCCTCTCCCAAAGATGTCTTACTCCTCCTTGGCCATCGCCAATGATTTGTACTTCCACATGTCTATATCCATCCACAGCCGCTTTCTCTGCAAATACTTTCTTGCTTGGACTTTCTCTCAATGCTGCTTTTAACATCCCTTGCAGCTCATCTTCTTGTGTCACAATCCTAATACCCCGACCTCCCCCTCCATCTACTGCTTTAATGATAATAGGATAACCGACTTTTGAAGCAAATTCCTGGAGTTGAGTCACATCATCTGTGGGTACCTGAAGGGCTGGGAGAATAGGAACGTGACACTCCTGTGCAAGATTTCTCGCCATCAATTTATCACCTGTTCTTTCTAAAATTCGAAATCCAGGTCCGACAACAACCGCGTTGGCTTCTCTCCACATTCTTTCTGTAAACTCGGCAGATTCTGAGAGAAATCCATAACCTGGATGAATAGCATCGATATTGTGCTTTTGAACAATAGAGCTTAGAGTTGAGATATCGAGATATGAAGATGGAGATGGAAGTTGAATGGAATGGGTTGAGTTGAGAGTGTGTGATGAGTCGTTGGTGGTGTAAAGGGTGTAGGTTTCTATATTCAGTTCGCGTGCTGTGGATAGAATACGCGTTGCTATTTCTCCTCTTTTGGGGGTTAGTTTAAGGGGAGATAAGAGGGGGCTGGCGACTACCTATTTGCTATGAGGAGTCGCTTGATAGGGCGGAAGGGTTGTTGTGACATATTTTCTGAGTTCTACACAGAAATCTTGAATGATATCGAGCTGTATTCTCTGCGACCGAAAGTGAAAGCTAACTGAATTGTAAACTTATAATCATTGAAGCATCCTCGATGTTCGAGAAATCGCCGAGCTCCAAGATGTGGTTAATCTTCCCCACAAAACACGGGGCGGGGGGGTAAGCCGAGGTCCAAATAATGTAGATCATTAGATCTCCATCAACAAGCTCTCGAATGTTTACTTTTACTTTTACAAATTGGTATCAAAGAATGAAGTCTGAAAACCAACTATCATCACATCAATATGACAAACAATAAGAAAGAGCAAAACTCTTCAAAAATCGCGTCAGATCGAATATCTCAGGTCGCCGGTCATATCTCTAACACATCCAGTAAGCGTCGAGGGCTCAAAACAAAAAATGATCTACCAGCCGACTACTCAGATATTCTCGGGACTATATCCTCCTTGCAGAAAATAGCCCAAACACCTGATCTCTCAAACAAAGGGTATATCCGACAAAAGCAAGCCGGTAAACTCTGGGTTCGAGAACGAGTTCTTCAATTACTTGACGCAGATAGTTTTCGTGAAGTAGGTTCTATTTCCGGGACCGTTTCGTGGAAAAAGCTAGACCCTGCAGAAAATAAAGGGAAGAGAGAAGAACCAATTTCTTACACACCAAGTAACAATGTACAAGGTTTTGGCTTATTGAGAGGAAGAAAAATATTATTTACGGCGGATGATTTCAGTATTCGTGCTGGACATGCCGATGGTGCATTGACGGAAAAAACGATTTATATGGAAAAATTGGCTGTTGCTTTGAGATTACCTATTGTCAAATTGGTGGATGGCTCTTCGGGTGGAGGGTCTGTGACAACTATTAGGAAAGAGGGATTTTCGTATATACCGCCTATGCCATCTTTTAATCATGTGGTTGAACAGTTGAATATGGGGATTCCCAATCTAGGAGCTGTGTTGGGACCGGCTATTGGGCTTGGAGCTGCGAGAGTTGTTTCGTGTCATTTTTCTGTGATGGCTGCGGATGTTGGGGCGTTGTTTAATGCTGGACCGAAAGTTGTTGCTGGTGAGTGCGTTGTATTGGCGAAAGGAAAATGCTAATCATGAGCAGGTGCAACCTTTGAGGAAGGACTTACCTTTACAGATCTTGGTGGCCCAAGTATGCACTGTACAAATGGCACCATTGATAATATGGCAGGAACTGAACAAGAATGTTTTGAACAATTGAGGACGGTTTTGAGCTTTTTACCAAACTCTGGTGCTTCTTTACCTCCAATTCTAAATAGTGAAGACCCGGCTGATCGACTTTGTGAAAGTCTACGGACAATCATTCCACGTCGAAAAGCAAGAATGTATGATCCTAGAAAAATTATAACGACTGTAGTCGATGCAGAAAGTTGGTTCGAGATCGGAGCACTATGGGGAACCACTGCAATTGTTGGTCTTGCCAGACTGTCTGGTAGACCCGTTGGAATCATATCTCTGAATTGCGAGATAAATGCTGGAGCACTTGATGCTGCTGGAAGTCAAAAGATCACTCGACATCTCAAATTTTGCGATGTTTTCAATATACCTATACTCCAATTTGTCGATATTCCAGGGTATGCAATTGGAACAGTTGCAGAACGAGCAGCTACAATGAGGCATGGGGTAGCACTGGGGACAACATATTATTCTACAACGACTCCAGTGTTTAGTGTTGTGACGAGGAAAGTGTATGGGGTAGCTGGTGGGATCATGCTCGATTGTAGAGATCCTCGTTTCCGAGTGGCTTGGCCAAGTGGAGAATGGGGAAGTCTTCCATTAGATGGAGGTATTGAAGTTGGACATGCTGCAGAATTGAAAGCAGCAGAAGCCAACGGAAAACGAGAGGAAAGATATAAAGAGTTGGAAGAAGAATATACTCGATTGATTAATCCAGTTAGAACAGCGAATGCGTTCGGAGTCGAAGAGATTATAGATCCTGCTGTTACAAGACAGATAGTTTGTGAATGGTTGAAGCATGTGTGAGTACCTCTTCTGCCATTATTTGTGGTATTGACTAATGACATGCAGATATGAGGAACTGTTGCCCATCAGACTGTTAGATCGAGCGAATGGGAGAATTCATCCCATCTTTTACTGAATTTGAGACGTCGTTGCCACTGAGAGTTCATTTCCATTCCAAGCTGCTCGAATACTGACCCGGCTAAATTGTGCGCCACACACCAACAATTGATGGATTCGTAGACAATCCAGATTCTCACTCTTTGGGCACGTGCGATGGCACTGTCCCTGCATCGAATGTTCTTCAGTTCTCCAGCTTCTCTGGTCCACACGTTCCCATGCATTTGGTGGCGTAGGTGGTACATAAGTGGCTTGTCTGTCCTGTTGGCTAAGAGAACAACGTATCCCGAGGTCTTATGAAGATCACAACCTATGAAACCTGACTCATCTTGTACCGAAGCTCCAGCTGTACTTGATATGTTGATGTGGCTCAAATTTGACGTTATAATAATCTAATCGACGTGACCATCCGATAGTTTCGCCAACACATTGTATATCAACCCAAAGTAGATCTCACCCTTGGAAGATAATCAGGGCAAATCAGACTGTCCTGTCCAGAGAATTCTCACGAACCAGTTTCGACACAGGGGAAAGGATATGGTTACCATAAAAAGGAATCATTTATTTTGGTACCTGAATCCTGATATTGGTCGTTCAAGGTCAACCCGGCATACGTCACTCACTGGTGGTAAGCGAGTGAGGCAATTCCAAGATCTATAAGGTTACCCAAGTTCCGCATTTTAAATCGTGAATATTTACCCCCTCCACCAAGACTTTCTTTTCTCCACAAGAAAAGCAACCATACTCTGACATATTTTTGAAAATATTGCATTTGTGAAGTTATTCACAATTTTCGGAAAATCATATAGAGAAGAGAATTCTTACAACACAAAATTCGCAAATATGGGTGCTGTTCCAATGAGTGAGTCAATCCTATAATTATGTTTATCACCAATAACAGTAAACGGCAGCTAACAATTCACCAAAGTTCTTTTGATCCTAGTCACCATCTTTATACCTCCAGTTGGTGTCTTCCTAGTATCAGGATGTGGACCTGATCTTCTCATAAACATATGTCTAACACTCCTTGGGTACATCTCTCATTCTCTCCCCCCAAACTCAAAACTAACACCCAAAAGATACATACCAGGACACATCCACGCATTCTATATCGAATATGTGTACTACGAGCGACGAGAAGCCGGTAGAGAAGGAAGATTCCAAGCAGCGAGAGCTCCGGGAATTTATTCGGATAGGGTGCAAGGAGGTGGTTACGGTACGATCGTTGAACCTATGAATTAACGGGTGGGCATTGTCTGAGTTCAGCTTGTTTTGCAGTTCATGAGGCGAGACCATAAATCGATTGGGAGTTCGAGATCAGGCAGGATGTACTGATGGGGTGTTTTGGGGGGGTGTTTTGGGGGGGCCGGGATGAAGATAACATGGGGTGTATAATGATGGAGAGGATAGATGGTAGAAATTGTGCTATAAACTGGGAGAATCTGGAGAGACTTGGGGAGTTCGCGAACTACTTGGGATACCAGTTTGTCTTTTGAAAGCTATACAAAAGCTGCGTTGGGTTGGCGATACCAAATTGAAATTTCCGTTTCATTTACCCCCTCTTGATTTATTACGAGAGAATCTTAAATACCGAAAGACTTCTGCGCATGAATCTTTTTCTTGATGCATCTGCAATATCGAGTATGCAATATCGAGTACACAATACACACAATACACACAATAGATACAATACATAGTTACAATAAATACAATAAACACAATGTCTCTAATATAACAACAAGTACACCGCCACATCATGTTGCAAGCTTCAGCCACATCTTACCCCACAATCCACTAATTTAGATTGAGACGTGTTAAGCCCGAAAGTCCAGATTGCGATAATATCTCCATCTATCCATTCCATCCACATTTGAAGGATCCTCCTCGACCACTACACTACCATCAGGATCCATATAACGACGGCGCATGTAGAAAAGGACTTCGATTGCAGATATTGTACCTTTCAATTGAACGCAAAACAATTCCAACAAGCATGCATTCCTCAGTAGTGCGCATCCAAAATGTCTTTGGATTCTTCACCACAGTGGCATTTGTCGTCGCGGCTTTGATCGCATGTACAGATATTATTTCGCCGCGTACACCCAGTGCCAAAGTAGAAGTGAAAGATATCCAAGTGTAGTTCTCCTCATGTCTCTCCCTCTTTCCTGAAATCCAACTAACCCTCCCCAGCGTCAAAGGACGTCCACATTACTATTCCACGAAAAAAGAAGAATACGCACACATCCGCTTCTCCCTCAACGCAGATTTCTCCTCCCTCTTCAACTGGAACACTAAACAAGTTTTCGTCTATGTTTCTGCATCATGGCCTTCCAATTCTTCGGAACCGCATGTGCTAAACAATGAAGCGGTTATCTGGGATACGATTATTACCAATCCGAGCGCGGATCATTTGCAAAATATTGGGCCGGCTGCGATGAAGAAATTGGTTAAGAGTAGTAAGGGAAAGAGTATTGATCCTTCGAGGTAGGTTTCTATTTATCTTGATCTTTGTTGGGGCTTTTCCCTCCTGGAACATATGCGATAGAAAGATGTACTGACAATCACCATTCACAGAGGTATCCTCAAACTCAAGAATCAAAAAGCAAAATACCAAATTACACAACCGGGTGGAAAACTCGCATCAACAGAAGGAGTCGTGTTGAAGGTTCATTATAATGTGCAACCATGGGTTGGAGCACTTACCTGGACGCCACAGATAGAGTTCTTGAGATGGGAAATGGTCAAGGGGGGTATGAGTAAGGTTTTTGGATTACCCGCTTTGAAGGAGAAGAAGAAGGCTGCAGAACAGGGGACCAGGTAGAGGGGTGTCGGGTGTGATTTAGAGGGCAGTGCGGTTAATGAGATAATCGCTACGGAACTATTTTTTCGAGGATGATATTTATGTATGGTTATAGATTTGGAAGGAGAATGCGAATGCAAAATATACCATGTTGGGTTTCGGCAATGAATCATCATTTTCTAAATAACACTGTGCTAAATCTATCTCGTATCCGTTTGCATCGAGGACTCTATCCTCATCATTGCTCCATTCTCAAGCGAGAAACCCATACTCCACCTTGTCAAAAACCTATAGATGCATGCCACCATGGAGTAGTGGTATAGATCCACATCAATTATCAATCCCCCTTTCTTCTTCTCTACTATCGCTTATAAAGGCTTGAAGAAAGCCGCATAAACAGTTAGATTATGCTCTGATCGAAAAAAGAATGTACGACTTATGGAAGGGAGTTTGAGGTTCGTGCATGCAAATGAAGCTGTGTGATGCAAAGTCGGAACTTCAGGAGGGGGTGAGAGGGTGGTAGTAATGGGAATGTGATGGCGATTTTGACGATTTAAGGTGATGATTCATCGCGAGAATGGTGACAATGATAAAGACAGTGACGATAATCGAAAAGTGGTGGTGAGAAAGAATGGTCAATGATGACTGACACTCTTGATGTGTATCTAATGACAATCCCAATCACACTCCTCGATTCATCTAATAATCAAACTCCTTTTCTCCACCCTCCCCTCTCTGATACTAATCCATATCCTGATCCTGATTCTGAATCCTGGTGCAAAAATCATGAATAGATAATGTGTGATTCCTCATCTTCATTTTACTTCTCTTCGACGCTGAAGCAGAACAAGAGAGAGTGCTCAACAATGAGGAGATCAGTCTCGAGTGTTCATTTATCTATAAGGATGATAGTATATCTGCTCGAGATGAGAATCGAGAGTAGAGGCAGGCTTGAAGGTTGTAGTTGATTTATTGATCACTTCTGTACTCATTTTCAAAATCACAGAGATTCGAAGTGAGGAATCATCTGAATGATATATCCTGTAACTTACACCATGCGAGTATAAAGCTTCTGGTCTTTCATGATCATCGAGTCAAAGCTTTCTACAGTTTCCGCTACGTAAATCAGTGGTTCCGGGTTGCGGATAGTTGTTTGAGGTATCAGATGGGTTTGTAAAGTATGCTGGGTTTATTTTGAAAGTTTTTGGGAGTTTAGGAGGGGATTTAGCTAGGTTTAGGGATGTGGTGGGTGATGGTTATAGTGTTTTGTGGGTGATGGTGATAAGATAGGATGGATTGGATTGGAATGGAATGGAGTGAGGAAAAAGGGGATGATGACTATTGTGGGAAGATGGTGATAATAAGATACCATGTAACGGTGAAGGTCTATTATTAACAACATCCCCGGATTCTATTTTCGCAATACATCCTGTGGTTTTTTGGATGATTACCTCTCAGATGTTGCTATACCGAGTCAGAGGAGGGGAATGTAATGCGCTGAGAGATTGTGGAGAGAAGGAATGAAGAGGGAAGAGCGTTCTTTATATATTTCAATGAGCCGAGGAAATGTAGGGGTGCAAAGCTGTGGTGTGGTGTTCATGAAAGAAGCTCTATTAATTTATGCTTCTGGTGAATGAAATGCTCTACATGGTCGTGGGGCGTTAATATGGCAGAGTAGATGAATTATCTTCGGAGGAGAGAACAGTGAGCGAGGAGACGAAGGTATTCACTACTTTTGCTAGGGGTGACGAGGATTCAGTACTGGATGTGACTATAAAATGTTTTGAAGTCTGAGGAAGTTCAAGGTTTATATTTGTTGGTCAAACTTCTGGAGTGTCAATCGGCAAGGAAGTTATCATTCTGTGGTTGATAACATTTCTAGGGCTAGATATAATCTGTGTTTCTTAATCTTTCAATTGAATGTAAGAACGGGTATTGAAAGATTATATACCGGTTATCAGTGGTGGCGAGATACTTGAATGGTGAAAATTCAAATTATAGTCTATAGATGACAATAGCAAGGTTTAATATTCAACAACAGTTAAAAATGATAGATGATCACTCAATATACACATCCCATTACTCATCAGTTTGATATCAATCAAGTTCTGAGTATACTGTTCAATCCTATCTTTGTATTTCTTGGATCCACAGTGACCTTAGTATACTCAATTGGAGTTCTAGAGATTGGGAATGTGTAGAGGTGAAGGGAGGGAAGGGGGACGAGTATTTATACACATCTTTCACTCTTCCTTTTGAAAGAAGGAGCAACACGTAGAAAATTCAATTAAAATATCTAAAGAACAATAACAGTGAATCGTAGAATGGTAAAGTACTTATCATTTCTATATATCATTCTACGATCCATACTCAAATCCTAGATATGAAGGCACCACTCTTGATACATACTTTAAGATTCGTATGTTGAAAATTGAGATATCACAAATGAGAATTTTTCTAAGTAATGCTATTCTTTGAAGTGAGTGGATGAAATATATGGATTGTTAGTTAAGTCTTTGGTGTAACTTGTAAGATTGCTTATGGAGAATGAAATTTGTTAAATAGTAGTAAAATTATCTCTTTAAATCACTTGACGATGACGACAGTTATCTATTCTTATAACACTAAAAGAAGAGTATCACTAAAAGCTATACTCTAACACTTTTGTGTTCTGATCGGATTCGTATCGAGATTGTTCCTTTATCCAATGTCGTTGCTCCAACAGCTCAACGAGAGAAAGCAACTCTTTCCGCCTAAAGTTGGTGGGAAACTTTGTTAATAGAGGTTGAGAGAAGAGAAGAAGATGGATTTAAGAGATGGCTGTTTATACAGCTCCGTTTTGAAGAAAGGGATTTTCTGAGGGTTAGGATCGATAGGTGAGGTGCCGTGTCTTGAGATGCTACGAGTGAATTAGTAACGGCATGGTGGTGTAAGTTTTGAAAAGCGTATAAACATGTGAAAAGACAACAAACATAATGTTGCGTTTTGGATGCGGCCCCGGTAGATATTACAGAGTATAGGGTAGCCCATATTCATAATCTCTTGGATGTTCGATCTCCTAGTGAAGTATTTAAGGCTCGACTCTTCAATTCAATGGATATGTATGAGTGAATCTTTATCTGCAGATTGAGTGGTATGATTACATTGCTATTACTTCTATAAATTTCCGACCATTTTGACAAAACATCGAACGGTTGGTTAAGCGAGTAGCGAGGTTCCAGTGACAATGACTTGTTAAGTTTGGCCAGTTGACAGATTTTATTTACTGCCGATTCTTCTTGGGTCGTCTTTCCTGAGACCTACAGAGACATTCGAAATTCACTCTTTGCGCAGCGCTTCATAGTATCTCTCTGCTGAATCTACATGATATGTATTCTGACATAGATGCTATATCAGATGATTGTGTAAGGATATGGTATATGCGAGAAGACTCCGTGTTTGAGGCGGGGTCGATATATTTATTCCTCTCCCTTTAAAAGTAAGGAGAAGTATCTTACAGCGGAGATTTGGAGTAGGATTCAGACTTCACATCCAATTCCAATACATCAAAAACAAGCAAAAGAAGAAACCCATTTTTTCAATATTCGCGTGATAGCCATCTATCCATTTCAATATCCAAAAGGTATATTTGAGATGGGATGAGATGGAATGAGATGGGATAAAAATCAAGATACGGAGTAAACGCGCGGCTTCTAACGCGATATCCAATGGAACTAGAATAACTTTGTGGGAAATCTCACGTCATTAGCGAATCTTAATATTGATTAGGGGGAGATCTCTAAAATGGTGGAAAAGCCGTCGTAAGCTAAACGAGTAAAGATGTGTTCTTTTTGATTGATTGACGTCGGATTAGGGGAGACTAAACCACTGGAGTGATTCAGCGCGTCATGATGAGCTTAATCAATGATTGTAGATTGACTCACGAACTGTGAATGATCGTATAGATGATGATTTACTGATAATATCGCACGATACAGTTTCCAAGGGAGGTTGGACTCACACTGACTCTGTGAGTTATACACTAGGTACATGATTAATGGCGCACGTGGTTAAAAGGATACGGCTTCAGTAGATACAAAAGAGTTGAAAACCCTGAGGATAATGAGTTGTCAATCTGAATTAAGTTTAGTGCGTATTCTTCTATGAGCTATGTACAACGAGGTTGATCGCATCAACTGTTCTTGTTGTTGGTTTGAGAAGGATACGGGAGACGTAGCACTCACTTATTCGTAGGTCCTAAATGTCTATATTGTATTTTGTCTGGGGAGCTAGCTATATACAGGAAGTTGTAGGCCTTACATAAGTGCCACAGAAAGAGCTAGTCTCTTTCACTTTCGCTTAGGCCTTGCAACAGTAGCTAGGTGAATTGAAGCTAGCTATTCACTATGATCGGGACGATCAACGTTCATACACTTATTGCCTAATACAGCTAATGCTCTTAGCGTGCTTTTAAGCTTTTTCGAAGGGTACAAAGTCTTGACCCTCCCCTTTCCGTTATCTTCAAACAATATTCAAGGAACAAACACAAACTTCACAACAAATCTTCCTATTCATTAACATATAGGATAGTCTCCCAACATGTCTTTTTCTTTGGTAGAAAGACTCACACCCGAGGAGTTTCAGATTCTGGAGCAGGAGGAAATCATTGGCGCTTCCATTGACGGGAAGAGAAAAGTTTCCGTGGGACGGTTGAGTATGTTTTCTTGCCGACGTCGTTCATTGATATCTTTCAGCTCGAATATACCAGCTGCTGACATAATGATTTTAGATCAAGAGAACGGCGATGGAAGTGCTCCATCTTCTTTGAGTTCTGGATCCATAGCTTCAATCCGAGTCCTTCACAAAACTGTAGGAAGCCTTGAAAGTTTCGAACTTCCGGAGAGCCTCGAGTGTGTAGCACTTGTCGAGTATCTTGGATACACGAGAACAAAAGCTGCGGAGATCTTCGCAAGATGGATTATTCGACCAGACCAACACTCTAATCCATATTCCCTCCAGGAGTAAGTAGTAACATTGCCCGTCACTCACGCTACTAGCAGCCATTTATCCTGTCTATCCGAAAATGTAGAAAATTACTGACCTTTATTCTTTCTACTTACGCCCTTGTCGAGCTGTGCAATCTCGAAAGAGCGCCTCTCAGAGATCTCCTTGATCGACCAACCGAGGCAATGAGACGTATTGGTATTTCAGAAGAAATGGTAGACTGTATGATGGCTCCAGAGCATAAAGCTATATTCGAGACCGAGACACTTACTGTTTGGTTGAACATTGCCACGCGCTCTAGATATGGAACTGTCATACGATATCTCGATATCTTGAAGGCTCAAGCCATCCGAACCATCCATACGAAGAAGGGCAATATGAGAGAAAATATTGACGGCATTTTCCAGCCTGGTAATTCCACTTCTGACACAGATGGTACTTCAGCCACGATTTCTGTCACCATGAGCTTGGAGTCCAAGTTCGCAGGGCAAATGTTCCCGCGCGAGTGTGTAACAATTGTGCAAACTCCTCCACAAAATCGTCCGGGATTTGTCACTCTTTACAAAGGAATGGGCACAGGATACGGCTATCAGAAGCCAATGACGCTCATCAAGGAAAATGGAAATCTCGACATGCAACTCATAGCAACGTACACTGGGGGAGATTTCAACGGGCAGGATTTAGCATGGTATTGGACGCGAGAGAAAGAGACTGCGGAGCAGTACCGCGAATGGGCGGCAAAGTACGATGTCCACGGCGAAACATGGATCATGCAAATACAAGTCCCGGAAACATTCTTGCAGAGCGTCAAGATTGAGAGATTGTGGTATGGATATGACTGGAAGCAGTATCTTTGGTACTGCAAAAAAAATGACTCGCAATTCCGACTTGCCGGATAACTTGCGCAAGTATGCCACCGCCGATGTCATGGAGGGACACATCTGCAAGCGCCATCCTTCGATTGTTCCCAAGATTTTGGAACAAGATATTCAGCATAAACTCATGGAGGATGATTGCTTGGTTTTTTGCAATGGAACGAAATCGACACAGACGGTGTTCATGAACTGGGAGGTAGTCGATAGGCTTGAGCCTCTCATTAGAGCAAATATGTACATAGAAGTTCATCTCGCTTCGGTCAAACGAAAATAGATGAAGGGGCACAGTATAAGATAGCAGGTTGAAGCATGGGATTTTATACATAGTTAACATAATGTTTTACTTTTCTACAAATCGATAGTGACATGTTATTTGAGATAAACATAGGAGCCTGTTTAGCTCGACCCTTATATAAAAAGTATACTATTAAAATAAAGGTATATATTTTTGATTCTTGTATTTATAAATTATTGTCTATATTTTTGAATTAATTCTATTTGAATTATTGTTAATTTTTCTCAAAAATGTATATTTTGGCTTATACAAAAAGATACATTATTAAAAATTCAAAAATTCTATTATAAAATAATTCGATATATTTTAAAGTGAAAATCTTTCTATAATGTGATTTATTATTGAGTGGACTATATCATCGAGTGGATCACTTTCACCTCAATAAACACAATCAACTTTAATATGCAATTTATTAATTATTTATTATATAATTTAATAATAAAAAAATATGCTTACTTTTAACTATTAAAACTATCGAAAACAATAAAAAACTGAGTTTTCGAAAGGCTTCCCAATTATATAATATCCCTCGTACAACTTTTATTCATAAAATAAATAATTTGACTTTACATATTGAAATTTAAATAAATTAATATAAACTTATAGAATTAAAAAAGAAGGTTATTATTTAATATATTCTTGATATGGATTCAAGAGGTTTTCTATTTAAATTTAAGAGAGTAGAAAATATAACAAATTATATTCTTAAATTGAGGGGTATAAAGTATATTAGAAAACTTTGAATACATCAATTTATAAAATATCGAATTGAATTAAAGATATGTTTTAATTATATTTATAAGTTTCAAAGAGTCTTTTATAAAAATCCTAAACTTATTGAAAAATAATTTCAATTAATTATAAATATATAAGCGAAATATAGCATTTTGAATAGTAATTTCTACAATTTTAATAAAACAGGCTTTATAATAAATATAATATACCCCGGAATAATTATAATTAATATTAAAAGACACAGCAGAAATAAATCAATACAACCAGGCAATTAAGATTGGGCTACAGTAATAATTTGCGGGAATGGGGAGGGTGAAACTATTCCCTTATTTCTAGTGGTTCAGGGACAGATTCATTTTTCTAATTAGTACACCGAAACCAATCTTCCTGCAAAATAAGCTATTAAATCTATATCTAATGGATAAATAAATAATAAGATAGATTTAGAATAATTGAAACATTTTGATAAACATATTAAGAATCAAAGAAAGGGTAAATATCGAATGTTGATGCTAGATAGGCATAAAAGTCATGAATCAATAGCTTTTCAAGTATATTGTAAAGAGAATAATATTAACGTGGTTTATCATCATGCGGCCCATATCATCATGCGGCCCACTTTCACCTCAATTTGTATTTTTAAATCCATATTACTCAACAACAATTGATTCAATTGATTAAAACTATTAAGAATCTAATAATCTAGGATCTATTATATCGTTTTGACAAGTTCTTGAATTATGACCTGGTTTTCCACACTTACTACAGCATCTATTAGAAGATACTTCCCCATTAGGATTCCTCCCTTTTTGACGCTCGTCGCGTTGAATCTGAACATCAACCTCTTGCTGAGATAATATATCAAGAGCCTCTTGTCCAGTAAGTACTCCTCCTTGACGCAATTGGGTTTTTTTCGCACGTCGACGCTTGCTTAATGCCTCATTTGCTGCCCGAAGTGTACGGATCTCTGCACTTAAAAGTGTATTCTCATGAGCTAATCTCTCTGTGCCTTTAGCTAGAGCTAGTACAGTCTCAAATATAGGTGTAGGAGAGCTTGATTGATGACGATTGATTCAAGATTTAACTAATGTTTATTGAGAAAGAGCTTCTGTAGGATTGTGAGGAGTTTGAGAGGTCCAGAGGTCTAAATTGACAAAAGGAGGAGGACTAGGTGTATGTATTCGAATATCTAATTTTGAGAGTACTATTTCAGGATCAAAGGGGACTAATCCTGTTCCTCGGAATCCAGATTTCATATTCTGATTCGTGATCGATCGTTGATATGCAGCTTTGAAAGCTATAAAGAATTCGACCTTTGAGATATGATTGATATGTGCCCTTATAAACCCCTCAATTTGAGTACCATATTCTTGTTTTAACCTATTAAAACATCCGACATCAAGTGGTTGAGTTAAATGACTTGAATGCGGTGGTAGGCATACGCATATAATATCATTCTCCTTGCAATATGATTGAAAAGGTATGGATTCGTGGCTTTCGTGTCCGTCTAGCACCAACATTCGGTATTTGCCTACTCTGCAATCCTTTGTATGTTTATCGAAGTGTTTTAACCATTCCAATCCTGTCTCATTGTTCGTCCACCCATTGCTAGTAGGTTTAATAGCCCAATCTGCAGGAAGATCGGTTTCCGTATACCAATTGGAAAGATGCACCTGTCCTTGAACCACCAGGAATGGAGGTATGATTTCCCCTACACTACTACCGCATATGATCGCTGTCGCCCATTCCCTATTGCCTGGTTGTACTGCTTTACTCCTACCACTCCTCCCAGCACTAGTAACTACCATACCAGCATTTATAACTCCCATCATAAAGCCTGTTTCGTCGAAATTCCACATATCGCAATCTTGTATACCAAATTTCGCTCGCATATTCGATATAAGACGAAACCACTTTCGAATAAACTCAGGATCCTCGCACAAAGCTCTTTGAAAGTCATAAACACGACTAAAACGCGTCTTTAATTCTTTGTGACGCTTTACGAATCGATGCGCCCAGAGCTTTCCAACCGCTTTTCCACCTCTCGATTCAAGAATATGATTCGCCATATCTTCCACCCCTTTAAGTTTAGGTGGAAAACCTCTCGAATCCATATCAAGAATATATTGAATAATGATCTCTTCTTCTAATTCTGTAAGTTTATGGGTTTTATGTCGATATTCTGTACGAGGGGTAAAACCGTCTATTCTACGCCGTAGTGTTGTACGTGGTATATTATACATCGTAGCAACCTTTCTAACACTTAGTTTTTTGTCTTTATGAATAGCATCGATAGCTAGGAGTATACGGGCTTCTTCATTATTCGAATGCATCGTGGGTTGTTGATAAAACGCGTGTTGAAATAAAAGGGTGCAAATTGAGGTGAAAGTGGGCCGCATGATGATATGGGCCGCATGATGATAAACCACGTTATATATTTAAGTTTATTATTATATTCAAATTATTTAATTCAGTTACTTAATATTAACTATTTTAATAATCTAAAACATTCATATAGTAATCAAATTGATGGATTTATTAAGGCATATATTAATTATATTTCGAAGATTAAATTCTTTATAGCTTTTAAAGTTGTATATGAAGAATCAATCATTTTTCAGAATATGAAATCAAAATTTCGAGGAATAGGTTTAATACCTTTCGATTTTAAAGCTATGCTTTCAAAACTGGATATTCGAATTCGCATACCTACTCCCCCCTCTTTCGGTTAAGATTTATAAATCTCTCAAACCTCTTATAATCCATCTGAAGCTTTTTTATAATCAATTTTAGTAAAATCTTGAATAACTTATTATCAATCAAGCTTCCTTACATTTATATTCGAAATTATATTAGCTTTAGCTAAGAGTACAAAGAAATTAGCTTATAAAAATATACTTTTGAATGTAGAAATTTGTACACTTTGAGTAGTGAATAAGGTATTAAATAAATGTTGATGTGCGAAAAAAACTTAATTATATTAAGGAAGAGTATTTATTAGATAAGAGGCTTTTGATATATTATTTCAATAAGAAATTAATATTTAGATTCAATGTGATGAGTATTAAAAAGAAAGGAATTCTAATAGGGAAGTATTTTTTAATCAATACTATAATAAATAACGTAACGTATGGGGAACTCGGACATATGGGGAACTCGGACACTTTTAGCCCATCACCAACTTGAAACCGCAATAACTTTTATTATGCATACCCAATCACCTTCTACATCTGCTCAAATTGAAGAGAAGCTTCAAAAGGCTATAATTTCACTTCAATTGAAAGAATTTAAATCAATTAGAAAGGCTGCAGAGCATTTTGAAGTCCCTAAGTCTACCCTAGCTGATAGGCTGGCTGGGAAGAAAACACGTTCCCAAACCCACGAAATGGCTCAAATTCTTTCAAACGCAGAAGAAAATACTCTTGTACGATGGATTTCACGACTTACCATCACTGGATTCCCTGCTACACCTATGTTGGTGAAGGAAATGGCCGACGAAATTCGTCTTCGACGCGTTCGGGTCGCGTCATCTCGAAATCCTACCTCGACAGAAATTCCACCTATAGGCCACGAATGGATCTATAGATTCCAAAAACGACATCCAGAACTTAAAACATGCTATTCACGTCAATTAGAGTCTAATCGGGCTAAAGAAGCAACTCCGGAGAATATTCAGGCTTGGTTTGACGCGTTTCGCACGCGTCTCATTGAGCGAAAGTATGAATTAGATGATATGTATAATATGGATGAAACCGGATTTGGAGTTGGAAGTACTCAAAGTACGCGCATTATAGTCGATTCTACTCAGAAATCGAATTGGAAAGTTACAGCTGGCAAGCAAGAATGGATAACTGCATTTGAATGTGTCAATGCAGCTGGAAATGCTCTATCACCTATGGTCATTTTCAAGGCTCAGAATACGAATTCTGCATGGATTCCAAAGGACACACCTCAAAGCTGGCAGTTCTCTACTAGTACAAATGGATGGACCTCAAATAGCCATGGATTAGAATGGTTAAAAAGGGTTTTCGAACCAGAATCCAAGAAAGTGTCAGGTGACCGACCTCGACTTTTGATCATGGATGGCCATTCAAGCCATATTACAGGTAGCTTTATTGCTTTCTGTATAGATAATGATATTGATTTACTTATATTACCTCCTCATTGCTCTCACTTGCTTCAGCCACTTGATATTGCGGTGTATGGGCCAATGAAACGATATCATGCTTTAGAGGTCGATCGAT